AGCGTTGTCGAGGCCACCCCAAACCCTAGAGAAGCAGCGTCGAGGCCACTAATATGATTCCTTATTGTGATTAGCTAGCTAGTTCTACGTTTGCCACTAATATATCCATATCTGTCATGTTTGAATAATAATTGCCATGTTGTAAATATTTGTAGAAACTATGGACACCCCCCGAGACGAAGCACAAGAAGCGTTGTTGAGGGACATAATCGCAGAAGGAAGTGATGCCCTCTCCTCGATGTTTCTCAACGACAACGATGGTCTGGAAGGAGAGGGTGAAGAAGCAGCTGGCCCTCTCCTCATTGATTTACATGGCTCCGATGACCCAATGCCGGTGCAAGAAGGAGAGGGTGAAGAAGTAGACCGTGAGGACGGCTCCGGTGATCACCAAACCGAGTCCGGCCAGGTATATATATTAGTTAAGCCTGTGCTGACTAGCTAATTGATGCATTCATTGTTTTGTTATGTACACATATTTATTAACTCTCGTCTTTGTTCTTTTTTCTAGCCCTCCGGATCGAGCACAACTTCGATAAAGAGACGAGGCCTGAAGAAAAAGTTGAGCTCGGATGAAAAGTTTGAGATCATACAAATCGCGCGCGACGGCCAACCGATTGAACCCTACCGGACAAAGAAGGCATTTGTTGCTCAGTGTGGGGTTCTGGTTAGGGACAAGATCCCGATCAGCATCCAGCAATGATATAAGCCTAAGAACGAAGACCCTGAGGTGTCTTATGTCAATGAGATGCAGAAAAAGAATCTTTGGACTGAGCTGAAGTCAAATTTCACCCTACCGCCGGAGGATGATCCGGAGAAGCCAGTTATAGAGCCATTAATCAAGTCTTTTGCTCTGAGGAAGATGGCAGACCTATTCAGAAATTGGAAGAAAGACCTCAATAGGTATGTCGAAAAAAATGAGACACCAGAATTCATTGGCAAATATGACAAGATCAGAGATGACTGGCCCGCATTTGTGGCCCACAAGACATCGGAAAAGAGTAAAAAAATGTCGGCGACAAACAAGAGAAATGCTGAGAAGAAGAAGCTTCACCATCGCACGGGGTCAGGTGGCTATCTCGTAGCCCAGCCTAAGTGGGCCAAGGCTGAGAATGATCTGCTTGATAAAGGGATCGAACCAGAGACAATAAACTAGCCAGAACGTTGCCGGATTTGGTTCTTTGGGGCCGGCGGATCCTTGAACCCTATAACAGGGAAGTGCATTTGAACGGAGGAACAATTGAACATACCAGTCAAGAAGCTTCAGCAATATATCGAAGCAGCGCAGCAAGGGACATACCAGACAATGATATCTTGTCCCTTCTCGAAGCTCCCTTGCACCTTCCGAAAACCGCCTGATGCTCTCTGTCTTTGTTAATATGCCGGCCCGTTCATGGGATCGCTGACGGTGAGACAGGGATCTGTCTCACAGGGGCGAGATACAGCCCTCAACTACTAGTGGGCGAAACGTGAGCATCGCACCGCGTATGTATCACACATATAGCAGTGCCCTGCAATGCGCGTGAGCTCAACGGCAGTAAGGCTATTTCCTCACAGAGACGCATGAAAGCTGCAAGGGACACCGTAACTAACTAGCGCATGCAACTATCACGCTGACATCGATAGCGGCAATGATGAGAAGGCACGCACACCAAACCAACTTGTTGTCTCGGATCAAATTAGAATGGTTCATCCCATATTGCTGCCTCGCAAGTCGCAATTCTTAAAACAGGCTCTCGCACCGCTTTATAGATAAAGCAAAAACGCCAAGGATACATGGCCGAACAATACAGTGCGGTGAGGAGGTCCTCTGAGACAGCAGATCCCTAGATAACAGGCCAGCATAAACGCACGCGACTATGCTACAGACACACTAGCACATGACTAATAGATTACAATGCCATGACATGGCCTAGGACACCTAGCCTCCACGACAACGCAGGAACGCGAGCACCGCCGTTGCCAAGCCCGAGGTGGACAAAGGTTTTCACCCGGAGACTGTGACACGGAGAGAAGAACCATGACGACGTCTTCAAGAAGATAATGGCACCCGCAGGTGTCGTCGTTGCCCGTGCCAAAGCACTGAGCTTTCACTCGGCAGCTCACCCGTGCCACCACGGGGCACCTAGACCAGACATGGCGAGAACCGGCCTCCAGATCCGGATCTGGGCAACAACAGGTTTGCCTGGACCACCCTCCGCTACATCCCTCGTCGCCGAGGCGACCGAGAGACGCATCCACCGCTGCCGTCATGGAGCCTACCAAAAAGCCATCATATGGACCACCATCCGGGGCCGCCGCCCCGGCATCCATGTCCCGAGTCACCGCCAGCCATCACCATCGCAATGCGCAGACCACGGTGGGAAGAGTGGAAGACAATCCTCCTACTCCTAGCCCGGCAGCAGCCATCGGGCCTGGGTGATCACCTCCATAGTAGGAGGCGTCCATGCCTGCGTCCCCAGCCAATCCCTGTAGACCGGGGCGACATGGCCTAGTAGCTGCCGACGGCCACCGTCGAGCAAGCCCCAACACTGGTCCCCGACCTCGGTCAAGACGAGCTCCGATGCCACCACACTCGAGGCCATCGGCGTCGCTCCGACAAATGGCACTGCAACAACACGGGCGCCAACTCGGACTGATGACACAACAGAGCCGCAAAGCAGGATGGCACAAACACGATGGCGGTACCAACACGGACTAGGTCGGACATCCATCTGCGTGGTCGGCCACCATCCACCACCACAATCAAGATCCATGCTGCCCGCCTATCAATCAATGGGGGACAAACCAGATCGAGGGGGTGGATGCTTTGTTGAGGGACAAACCAGATAGAAGGGGGTAGACCTCCAATCCTGAATGTGCATGAATGTTTTTGTCATGACACATTCAAATAGTAGGTTAGACTCAAGCTGGTGGAGTGATTTTGGTGAAGAATTACAGGGCCAACAGCATGGCGCGACAACATTTCTTTGAGGAACACCGACACTGATGAGTTTCAACCTGAAAACTTTTTGAAGCAACGAATCATGCAGGTGTCTTAACATTTAAGTCAGTGCCAAACAGCATGGCCATAAATCAAAAGGCACGCAATTGTGGTATCAGTGGACACCGACAATTACATTGACTTTTTTTTGACGAAAATGCTGCTGTGCAGCTTTTCATTGAATATGAGAGAGGGAAGACAAGGTCTGTAGTTACAAAATTTGCACGAAATGTGCACCACCGCATTCCGTATCGTAATGTCTAGTCTGGTTCTAGAGGTCTATGCAGCAGGTTCTTGATCTTGTTACGGCCGGCTATCGTCCAAGTGTCGATGTCTTCAATCAGGCGGTGGAAGACCTGCACCCCCTTCGAGAACTTGTTATCGAAGATTTGCGTATTTCGTTCTTTCCATGCCGTCCACCAGACCAGCTGCACCAGCGAGCTCCATCCACGTCTATGGTCCCTCGCCACCCTGGACCGGCTTTGATCCCTCCATTCTAGAAGGTTTGCTGCGGTCGAGGACGGTGCCAGCGTCGCCGGTAGATCGCACCAGTTTAGCACCCTCTGCCAAAGCTCCGTGGTGAAGGAGCATGAGGCGAGCAGGTGAAAAATGCGCTCTGCGGTGTCCTCTAGCAGAGACTGCATGATGCATTGTGTGGCCATCCTCGTTTGGCCAGGTTGTCTGTGAGGAGGCATCGATTTAGCACCGCAAGCTAGGATAATATTTTGCACTTCATGGGTGCGTCGGCCTTCCAGATGATCTGTTTGAATTCAGTCCGTGTTGATCCCTCGAATTATATTGACTTTGCTCGCAGAAGAAAAAACTGCATTGACTTGGCTGGGAGCGCTTGTATTAGTCTCAAGGCACACAGGGAAGCTGAGGTTCTTTATACAGAGGCATCTTTGTCATCTTCTTTCGGGCCTGTGTAGTTACTAGTGACAATTTAACTTCACTCTAACGACATTACTCGTGTGACTTACAAACACCACCTTCATATGCATGAAGAATATCTTAACTGGAAACGAACTGAAGTCGACAACATAGATTGAACTTAAACTTCTGGGGAAGAATCATATATACAAGCCTGACATAATCTCCCTCAAGACAACACTGATAAAAGTTCTGACGAGTGCGCCGACTTGACTTCATTACATTTGTACTAACATACCATAACAAAAGGATTGACATTGCAACACGAATCCAAGTGATCTCAGCGCCTAGCACTGTATATGAGCGAGGAAGGAGCATTTCTCCCAAAGTCCAAACCTGAACAAGCGTAAGATGATTTCGCTTCATTCGGTCTGGACATCCATTCCTCAATACCCTCTGCTCCAAATGAGAAAGGAAATGTGAATGATCAAGAAATTATGCCGGGATATACATAAAGCGTACCAAGCATGCATCCATGTAAAGAAACGAGAATATGGGAACATTACCTGCAAAGGGTGGATTAACAGAAATTTTAATCTCCGGTTGGTTGGGGTGGGCGTGGAGCGCGTGCCTCACCGCAGCCTCCGCTTCCTTCGCCTCGACAACCCTCGCTCCACCAAAATAAAAACCAACAGAGACAGACCGCCGAAGGGAGAGCATGTTCCCTTGAAGACCGAAGTCGAAATCGACATTACCATCCTCTTTCGCCACCCCCACGCTGAGGCTGAACTCAATTGCTTCCACACTTGGCAAAGCCCCTGGTTCAAACATTATCTGCGCTGCTGATCCACAGTCGAAGCAAAAGTCAACCATACAGCGGAACCCATATGCACTGACGACTATCAGCCGTTCTGTTTGGTGGGTGCTCTTTATGACAAGACGCCGAAGGGACAGCAGCCCCCCAATGATTTTCATGTCCTCCTGTTGCACTTCCTTCACTGAATCGAGGATTAACGCGGAGAGGTTCGAGAGATGCGAGGGGTCTCTGTCTATCCACCCTCGCAGTGCAGAGAGTTGGGTGGGCACATGTGACCCAAATTTGCGCAGATGTCCAGGAGGCACCCATTGTTCTCCCAAGAGATCCATCAGTTCAAAAGATGTTTCTTTGGAGTAGGAACTTATAATAAGACTCTCGATGTGATGCAGGTTGCGCAGAGATTCAACAAAACATTCATACAAAGCCAAACTATCATCCTTGAGGCATATCTCAAGCTGCCTCAGCATTGCTATTTTGCCAAGCTCTTGTGCAACGATGTCCAGAGAGACCAATATTCCCCTCAAAACTTCTATGGATGTCAGATTCTGCAATACACCAGCCGTAACCACCTTACACAAATAAAAATTTAGGTAGATTAATCTTCTCAAATTACAAAAAGTTGACGGCAATGCCCGCACGCAAAAATTGAATCCAAGATCCAACACCTCCAAAAACTGCAGGTTCCCTATCTCAGCCGGGAGTTCTCTGATTCCTGTATGTGCTAGACCTAGGTACCTTAGATGAATCAGATGTGCAACATCCTTGAGGATAAGCTGTAGGCTGCCACTTTCCCAAAGCTTACAGTCTGACAGATCAAGTACACGTAAAACTTCAAATCTTGACAGGGCTGGCATGATATTTATAGCAGGTGGAAAGATAGTAATTGACCTCACTCGTGATATAACCGTGAAATTTCTGAGAGGCTTGGCTTGATGATCTTCATTTTTATTATGAAGGGACAAACGACGAACATTACTTTGTGAAGACATGATATTCCCAGTGCCATCCAATAGATTAACAAACTTTGCTTCATGTGATAAGTTGCAGATAAGGTCCAGAACCATATCGTGTACACGGCAAGAACATACCTGGCCTATATCATCATGTATTGGCTGGATCATACTTCTATTAATGAGCTGGTTGAAGTAATTTAATCCGAGCAAAAATAGGCTAGTCCCTTGATTTCCTTGGTGGACAAATCCTTCGGCCACCCACTTCCATATCAGTCTATCTCTATCAATCACGCTATCTTCAGGGTATATACATAGGTACAATAGACAAGTTCTCAGATGATAAGGTAGATCATAATAGCTGAAAGATAGTATTCTCCGCATCTCCTCTAAACTTTTATCTTCTGTTAGTCCAGAGCCAAGGGATTGGAGCAGAATATCCCATTCACTCTTTGGTTTCACCACCTGGCCACTAGCCAAAGCACTAGCTATTGTAATGATGGCTAGTGGTACGCCACCACATTTCTTTAAAATATCATTAGACACTTGTTCAAATTCATTTGGACATCCACTATCAGCGGCAAATACTCTTTTATAGAAGAGCCTTCTAGAGTCATCTATAGAAAGAGGTTTCATATGATAAATTGAATCATCAGCTGATGAGCAACATGATTTGGAGACATCGAAGTCGCGGGTTGTGGTGATTAGCCGACTGCCTAGATTGTCACTATTAGAGAAAGCAAGGTTGATGTATCTCCACAATTTTTCATCCCATATATCATCGATTATGATGAGGTACCTACATTAGTTTGGATTATCAGCGTAAGGTCTATGGGTGGAACTACACATCTATAACAGCGTATATTCAGAAACGAACTCGTAACTGGCATGCATCTTAAACTTGATAACCTGACCTCACAATGCATGCATTATGATCCTCCATTCAGATGATGAACAAAATGAACAAATATTTATGATTCAAGGGAGTAAAACACAACTAGCAAATTGCTGGATCAGTGACCATACGTAAAATTCAATTAACTACAAGAGTTAAAATGGTCAGGTAGATATATTGGGAAGACCCTAGTACAGATTGGCCCACCGATTTAATTTATGACAGCTAATGAAGGTCTTGAAGACCCACTCAAATAGTGTAGCATTATCCTTTTATCTATATTTTGTTGATAGTAAGATTCTAAAAAAAGGCATACATGGAAAATATAATGTGATAGTGAGGAAACAATTTAACTTCTTGTTTGGTCATCAATCCAATATACAACATATAATGTGATAATGAAGAGACAATTGGGTAGCCTTTGACACACGTCGCAACCTTTAAAATCTGTGTTTTAAAACTGGCCGGGTTAGGAGAAAGATAGAAATAAGTTTGATTAAAAAATTTGTAACATTTATCTTACTCTTTCTTTCCTTTACTTTTGCCCTGTTGGTGTATTATTTGTTACAGTTGTCATTACACTCATTTTGGTGTAACGTAAAATGTTTAGATGGATTTCTTGGACCAATGCCAATAAGTTTCAGCCATTGTAACAAATGCAACAAGAGGTAGTTACTAATTATTTCGATAAAGGAGGGAAGAATCAAACATATATACTTATACAGGCTTGAAATTGGGCCCCTATAAGGTTTACAGTTTAGTGCAAACTGCATACGTCAGTAAAGGTGACCTTGAAAATTATTCTTAGCCCTTCCGTGTGACGCACAATATATTTACGCACTATTACAGTATTACTTGTAAAGCTAGCATAGGAAACAAACATATCATGTAGTTTACATTTTTTCTGTAAATAATGCATACCTCTTGTTCTCTAGGAATTCATGAAGCTTTTCAATAAGCTGATTTGCATCCAGTATCGCCAGATCTGAGTGAGAGTTGCCGAGATCAATGAGGATATCCCTGAAAACCTTCTTGATATATCAGGGTTCCGACCGACAGAAACGAATGCCCCATAATCAAAATCACCTTTGATCTTCTTGTATACTGCTCTAGCAAGAGTGGTCTTGCCCAATCCACCAAATCCAACGATAGAGACCTTTTTCAGTCTTTTGTTTGAGGCATCGCCGTCGGACTCCAAGGAGAGCAGCCTCATGAGGTCCTTATCCCTCTTCCCATAGATGCCGACGAGCTCTGACGCTTCTGTGTACAGAGCATGGAGACGAGGATCGATGGCAATTGCTTCGCTAGGATTAGGAGCAATACCATCGAGCCTGTTCCTTTCACGCCTAGCAGCCACCTCCTGGAGTTGCTCCTTGATTTCCTTGACAGCGTCAGCTATGCGATGGTGATTCTTGCCTTTCTTGAACAAGCCTATCATCTTGTTCTTGAGCTCCTTGAATCTGTTGGTGTTGTCATGAGGGTGTTGAATACCTTCGACACGTACCAGGAACTTGTCAACCACATCCTCCATGTTATAGGAGAGCTCTCTGACCTCGTCGGCCCAGAGCTTGACTTGCCTGTCAAGCTGGTCCTGCGGCACCTCGCCAACCTTGATGAGGGCAGCGTGCATGCTCTCAAGCTCCTTCCTGAGAAACTCGACATCTTTCTTGATGCGCTTGTGCAGCTTGTACTCCTCCATGAGCAGCTCGCCCAGCTTGGGGATCAGGCTGCCCATGGCCCCCGTGACAATATTCATGAGAGCTCGCTGGATCAATCAGCTGGAAACGTTTAAATCGATGAATAAGGGGAGCTATAATGCAATCCAATTTGTGTGAATCCTTGAACGAGCTCTAGAACAGATATGCCAAATTAAAGTTTAGATAGGCTCTGGGCCAAGCCCACCTTTGGTGCTTCACGGCAGAGCAGAACACAGCGGCGGCGCACCAGAGGCCAGTTGCATGAGGGTCGCTGCACCAGAGGGAACACGACGGCGGCAGTGTCTCTCTTTCTCCGTGGAGGTTGCTTCACTCAATCTGGGTCTCTCTCTCTCTCCGTGGAGGTTGCTTCACTCGATCTGGAAGAAGAAGAAATTATATCTAGCAAATCAGCAGATTAACAAGAAAGATGAGTCAAAGTTACCAGGCCGTTAGCCGGATCAGTGGATTCAACCAACACGAATCAGACTGGAAATTAAAACAAGTCAATCAGACTCTAAGAAGGAGAACTAATAACTTTTTAGATCAAAGCATTTCTACTTTAGCTGGAAACAAATGGACACGAAACATACCCCAAATGTCCACGGGTATCAGTTGACAGGGGCGAACACTGTGATGAGAAAGGCAGCGCAATGGAGGAGACTGAGATGAGAGGAAGGGAGCACTCTGTTGGTGGTGGAGATGAGGAGCAGAGTAAGACCAACAACAGCAGGTCAACAGATACAGAGCCTCCACGATGCCTCCCAATACCAATAGTAGTGCTTTTGGCTCATGTAATTATTCAGTGCAGTGGGCCATACAGGGACAGTGATTCAGAGACAATAATTGTACGTCCTCTCATTTCTCTCAATCTCGTTGGTCAGTGCAGTGCACCTGCCAGGCTTCATGCATTTATCAGCTAATGACACTACTGTAGTAATTATACTCACTAGTGTTACTCTTTGCAGCTGGTAAAGAATTGAGCCCCTCCGCTCAGTTTGAAAATTTCGGTTTGGCAGTGAATCCTCATTCCCTTTGAGTACTACTCCTACAAGGGAAAGCTTGTGGGGCCCCTTTTTAATTCATAGCAGCCATAATTTCAAATATATAATTTGGATTCATAGCAACCATTTTTTTTGGATTCATAGAAACCATTTATGTAATGTATAATGGAAACATGTTGCAACAAACAATCACAACCAATGTAACAGCAGACTGGATTTGGATTTATATCAGCCATGATTCAGATAGTTCACAAATCAACGAGTATTCCCCATACCACATACTCATACCAGCCATCAATCCACACATCTGAGCTCACACCATGAGGCTGAAAACAATGGTCACAAGTTTAGCACCTTGATAAAATATCAAAAGGATTTTTGGGCAGCATGCATAAGAACACAAAATTCTGCACCATATTGAAGGTAGCACAAGAATCATGAACGTGTAGAGCTAACAAATCCGCACCACAGACCCCTAATATAATCACTTCAGTGAATGGAAATAGAACTTAAATCATGGTTTCAAAGTTCAGAACCTGAAACCTTGGCTACAAAGTTGAGCGATCATGAACAAACGCTAAACTGTAACAATAAACACATAGTTTCAGCTCACAACTTGAAATGAAGGAGAGGTAGGTAGCACTCAGTGCAAGCGAGGGGCAGAGGAAGACCAACAACAGGCAGTCAAGATACGAATCCCTCGGAATAGTACGTAATGCTTTTGGCTCATGTGGTCGAAGGTGCGTTGGATGTGGGAGAAAGGTGCGTGTGATCGTGAGTGGTAAACAAGAAAGGGAGTAGTGCTTTAGCCTTTCGGTGGGTGGGCGTGGAAAGAAGCCCCCACGATCCCTCGGGACAGTAGTGCTTTTGGCTAGATGTGTTTATTCAGTGGGTCATACAGACACTGGGATTCAAAGAAAATAATTGCATACTACTCTACTGTATATGGTCCGTCCAGCAGGCACCAGCCATGCTTCACTGCATTTACTCTGATCCTCTCATTTCTCTGAATCTCCCTCGATTGGCATTTATCCCTCTCTCTCATTCATGTAGGCATTTGCCAGGTGACAAATTACTCCTATAAAATACTCAAAGGCAATCGACATCAAAAATACCCAATGGGTCTCAGGTCCCAATGCATCTGAACTCCAAAAATAAATTAGAAATTGCAAAAAGGTCAAAATTTCTAGAACTTTGTGGAAACATACGTGATCTAGTGTTATACTCCTGTAAAAGGTTTCATGAAGGAATGACTTCAGGGCAAAAACAAAAACAAAATCGTGAGTATAAAAACACATGAATGGTAACTTTTATGTAGTGTCGATTTTGTTTTCTTTCGCCCAGAATACCACAAAAGTCATTCATTCGTTGAACTTTTCCCATGAGTGTAACACTAGATCATGTTTGTTTAAAAAGCAGGAATTTTGGGACTTTTGTAATTTCAAAATTATTTTTTTATTCGCATGCATTGGCACCCGAAAAGCAAAGATCCACGCCCCAATCAATACTCTCTACCAAACCGAAATTTTCAACTGAACAGAGGTACTCAATTATTACCAGCTGCAAAGAGGAACACTAATAAGATACTTCTGGTTGGGTTTATAAGTCTGGGGTTTAGATCTTTGATTTGACTAATAAATCATGTATACCATGGAAAAATATATATATGGTTAAAAAACTTCGTCTGAAGACAAATTTCAAGATATTTATTTTAAAATATAATGCATGTTTTCCTAATCAAATTGAAGAGCTAAAAACGTGTGCCAGCTTTTATAAATCCAAACAACAATGGTAAATATGTCCATGTCGTCAACAACTTGTTAGAGCATCTCCAACAACTTATGAGTTAACTTGTTAACTAACGATGTATCATACAATTACTCCAATGGTTGTATGTACGATGATCAATAGGAGGTGAGAGAATATGGAGCTTGCTCTCTTTCTTTATCTTGGAGCTTGTGCACAAGTTATTGGATCATGTTCAAAC